AATAACGAAAGCTTTTAAACACAATGAATTACGTATTAAACGCTTAGGGGCTGAGACTGGTTGCCACTGTACATTTTCCAAGCTGGTTTTAGACTGTATTTAGTGTTGTTTTGGTCTCTTTCAGGTTAGGACTAAGATTCCAGCTCTGGGGCAGTGTGCCAGGTCCAATTTACCATCAGCGATTTCATGTCTGTACTAGCTAATGAGACCATTGATTGAATCATCACAAAAACAAGGGACGGGCAGGATCTGATGGGCTTGTGCTAATTCTATGAAATGTGTCAAAGCACTAGTACATATGGATGCGTTATTATTACATAAATGTAAACATGGTATGTTGTTCTAGAACTGAGTAGAATGTTGTGCCAATTATTCTCCCTGCTCCCCCACATTCATTCTCTGCCCTTCTCCCCACAGAGACTGTATCACAAGGGTCCCTTGGCACTTGATTTAAGACTAGACTTGGCCAGTGAAAGGCAGGAGGAGAGAGAGGCTAGAATATTTATTCTTCTGTTCCCACCAACCGTGCCTCCTGACTGCCGGCACTGGTTCGTCGATTTTTCCTTTGGGGCTAGGGTGGCAAGGGTTTCCATCTGTTGCTGCTCCCCAAATACTTCTTCAGGCATCGATTGTTCCCTTAATCTTGCTCACTCGTTTGTAAATGGGCCCTTAATTAAATTCTCTTCATTTAAACTCTTTTTGAGAGGACTCTATTTCCCATCTGGGCCCTGATACACACACAAACAGCAATTAGGATTTTTATTTCCTGATATTCTGAGTACTTAAAATAAGCAATAATTGATCCCTCAAATGATAATTATCTTCTCAATATTTTAAAATTAATTTCTAAATTTTACTTCATTCAGTCTCAAACTGACTCTGAAAATGTTAAGAACCAATGTTTCTTAAGAATAACAATATTCCACAGTTTACTGTGATTCAGATCCTTTGGCATAAAACTTTCAAGCAGTATTTGAATCACCTGCATTTGTTGTTTGCTTTAATTTTACTTTGTTTAAGCTCCAATCCTTTGGCCACCTGATGCAAAGAGCCAACTTATTGGAAAAGACCCTGATGCTGGGAAAGATTGATTGCAGGAGGAGAAGGGGGTGAGAGAGGATGAGATGGTTGGATAATATCACCAAAAACTCTGGGACATAGTGAAGGACAGAAAAACTTGGCGTGCTGCAGTCCATGGGGTCGCAAAGTCCATGGGACATGACTTGGCAACTGAACAACAAAAACAATCTTCAAACAAGAAGCAGGACCTTCAAAAATGAACAATTAACTAAGCTCCCAGGAGTCTTCAAAAAGATAAATCAGCATATAATAACATTAACTAATCTTTCTGAAAATCAAAAATTCAGCAGTCAGCAAATCTACTTCAAAAACCCTTACTAGTATATTTAAATTTCCTGTAATAAAGATAAATCTTTTGCAGGTAATGTTTGGACAGGTTTTACAGAAATGCAAAAGTGAACACTAAACATTCTATTCCTCCTGTGTGTAGAGTGTCTTGATTTAGAAATTCACAGACTTCCTCTGTGGATCAGTCATAAAGAATCCACTGGCCAATATAGGAGACATGGATTCGATCCCTGGTCCAGGAAGATCTCACATGCCTTGGAGCAACTAAGCCGGTGGGCCATAGCTATTGAGCCTGCGCTTTAGAGCCTGGGAATTGCAACTACTGAACTCTTGAGCTGCAACAACTGATCCCCTAGAGCCCTTCTCCACAAGAGAAGCTACTGCAATGAGAAGCCTGAGAGCTAAAACTAGAGAGAAGCCCCTGCTTGCCCCAACTAGAGAAAAGCTGGCTTAGCAATGAAGACCCAGCACTGCCAAACAAACAAATTAAATTTAGGATGTTTGGGATTATTAGTTGACAAAGCAATTTTTAAAAAAGTTCATATAGTTATTTATCTCCTCTAATATTTATTTTTTTCTACTCTTTAATTTTGTATTATGTTATCTCTGCACTGCTTTTATAATTTATTTCCATCTTCCTAGCTTATTTTGATTTATTTAGCTCTTTTTAAGGTGTCCCAAAATAAAGGGATGCTGAGCTCATTATTATCTTTTATTTTTAATAATAAAATTTCAATTTCCTCTGAATGCATTTATTTTACCATGCCCTTATGCTTTCATTATAAAATATTGCTATTTCATTTGCTCTGTAAATATAAAAGAGTATGTAATTTTCTTCCTGCTTTCACATTTGATTTGGTAAATCCACAAGTATGTTTCTTAATTTTAATGTCATTATATTTTTGCTTATCATTTTATTGTTTACTTTTAATTTGACTGAATTATTATAAAAGAATGTGGCCTTTCTATACTTCATAACTTTTAGAATTGTCTTTACAACCCATTAGCTGATCAATTTTTATAAATTTTCCTTGGACATATAAAGCAAATATTTATTGTAATTCAAAAAGTATAACTTTTAAAAATTCACTTAATTCATTGATTTGTTAATTATTTATCAAACTTTCTGTGGCTTCTTCTTCTATTATTCAGTCTGATTCTGAGAAATGTTCACATTATTTTTCATCAATCTCTTTCATTTTTAATATTCAGGTGTTATGTTGTTTGGTGCATATATGTTCACCAGATTTTACCATATAATTATAAGTTAATATATTTTCACTGTAGAATTCCTTTTTGATGCTGCTTAGTGATTCTGTGGCAAATTCCACTTCATTTCACATTATTCTTCCCAATCCTACTCCTTGTGTTCATTGTATTTGCTGTCATTCCTTAGTCTATTCTATTTGTCTATTTGTCTATTACTATTTGTCTAAGTAGTAAATGTCTATTTATTTCAACATTTACTTCATTAAAATAAGTATGTATACTAAAAATACCTCATGGTTTTATCTTCATTTTCTACAAATTTGAATTTTTATTTTCTTCTGAGAATTCAAAGTGCTTACATGCAGTGTTAGATTGATATCCTTGATTTATCACTTCTATACCTTGTTTGCTTATTAACTTACTCTTTTCTTCCTTCTTTTTTTCTGTACTTTCGTGAATAAAAAGTTACACCCTCTCCTAAAATCATAATAAAATATATTTCTCTAGCATTATATAAAAATAACATAGCCAATATGATCCTTCCAAGAAGTTTTATTTCCGCTTTACTTACTCTCTAATAAAATGAGTGCGTGTGCTTCAAGTATTAATTAAATATATTAATAGTTCTAACTACAACTGCCCCTACAGAGAAAGTATTTTATAGGCTTTGAGAAAGAAAAGGAAACAATCTCACACTGTAAAATATAAAACACAGAGAACAAGTATAATACACTCATGCGTCTTACTTTAGAAGTTTCAATGAGAGGATGTATATGGTTAAAATAAGCCAGCATATTCATGATGATGTTATCTTAAGAGTCATGGTGTTATAAAGATTATAGAGAAAATGAACAAGTATGTACTTTAAATGGTTTTAGGATCACCATGCTATCTCACTCTTATATCTTTCCTTTATATAGGAAACATTGATGGGTTTTCAAGGAAATCATACTTTTTCAAAATTAAGGAATAAAATGCTCCACTGATTTCTGATATAGAAATTATTAGGGTAATGTCTGTTTTAATGATTTAACTTTTAGCTTTTTGCAGGATTTTATTAAAATAGGTCAAGAGAGTTTTATGATTTATTAAAATGAGGCTTGTTTCAGTTCAAAGAACTTCTAAGTTTCAGCCAGTCTGGTTGAAAAACATATAATTAAGTAGAAAAAAAATCTTTAAATATTTATTGAGATTAATATGGCTATGCAGGATAACTAAACATATAAATGTAAGAAGTTACTGCATAGTACTGTAGCATCGTACTAAACAGTATCGCATACATTATATAAATCTATCTATTTTGCTGTAGAATTGCTCCAACATTTAAGATCCCTACCAACAATAATCAGCATGAGAAAAGCCTTGACTGTGTGTGCTCAGTCATGTCCAGCTCTTTGTGACCCCATCAACTGAAGCCCGCCAGGCTCCTCTATCCATAAGCCATAGGCCACGAGGCTCCTCTGTCCATACAATTTTCCAGGTAAGAATTTCAGAGTAGGTTGCCATTTCCTACTCCAGGGGAACTTCCTGACCCAGGAATCAAACCTGAGTCTCATTCTCCTTAGTCTCCTGCATTGGCAGGTGGATACCTTACCATTGCACCACCTGGGAATCTCTGACAGTTAAGTTTAAAGCAGACAATATGTTGACAAAACAAGTATATGATGAATTCAAACAATTTGCTAATCTAGATGCCAAAAAGGATGTCAGAGAATTGGTTGAGAATCACCAATATGTCAATAATTGGTGAGAAATCTCGATGCTAATTACTGACTTGTTATGTTAGTTGTTCAGTCATGTCTGACTTTTTGTGAACCCATGGACTGTAGCCCACCAGGCTCCTCTGTTCATGGGATTTTCCAAGTAAGAATATTGGAATGGGTAGTCCTTCCCTTCTCTAGGGGATCTTATCAACCCAGGGATTGAACCTTGATCTCCTGCACTGTGACCAGATTCTTTACCATCTGAGTCATCAGGGAAGCCCCAGTTACTGACTTAAGAGAGTTTATAATCAAATGTGAATTAATGTGCAGTAATGCAGGAAGGAAGTAGATGAGAGTGGAATGAAATTGATAAAATAAGTATAAACACATCTTGAAGTCCTAAGGATATGGCTCATGATTTAACTATATTAAGATTAATGGGTTTCCCTGGTGGCACAGCTGGTAAAGAATCTGCCTGCAATGCAGGAGACCTGGGTTTGATCCCTGGGGTGGCAAGATCCCCTGGAGAAGGGAAAGGCTACCCACTCCCGTATTCTGGCCTGGAGAATCCCATGGACTGTGTGGTCCATTGGGTTGACCCCCATTCCATGGGGTCACAGAGAGTTAGACATGATTGAGCCACTTTCACTTTCATTAATATTAATAACATTATGCTCTTATATTTTAATTGTTTTCAAGCCTAATTACCATTTGACTTACTTTCACTTGTTGAATAGTCTTGTGGGTCAAGTATTCCTGATTCCTGCAGTGATCTAATACAGGAGTCCACCAGTTCGAGACCTGTTGTGAGCTCATCTTCGATATCTTTTTGACCATCTGAAATACAATATTTCAAAGAGATGAACAAGCACATGGTTTTGTCAACATTAAAGTTTAAGACTATCGCTTAATAATCAAAAATAAAGTAACTAAAACTATTCAGTTCAGTTCAGTTCAGTCACTCAGTCGTGTCCAACTCTTCGCGACTCCGTGGACTGCAGCATGCCAGGCCTCCCTGTCCATCACCAGCTCCCAGAGTTTACTCAAACTCATGTCCATTGAGTCAGTGATGCTATTACCTTTATGAAATTCTTATTAGGCATCACATTGTAACCCCTGGTCAACCACTATTAAAAACCAAGGCTAGCCAATTATACGTGTCCATGAAAAACATAAAGTTACTAGGGAATTGGGAAAATTTAACTCCCATGAACTCTTGAGCTTTCAAAACAACTTCACTTATTTTTAGTGTCATGTTTTATCAAATTTATTTTTATAAGTTTCTTTCTAAATTTCTTAAGAAAATTAACCAATAGAGGTATGTGTAGAAGTAAGTATAAATGCTTATCAAGAAGTTGTACTTTAAATTTAAATGTCTATCAGGTGATGAATGGATAAAGAAGATGTGGGGTGTGTGTGTGTATATATATGTACACAATGGAATATTATTTGATGTAAAAAAGAATGAAATAATGCCATTTGTAGCAACATGGATGGACCTAGGGATTATCATATTAAGTGAAGTCAGAGAAAAACAAATACTTATAATATCATTTGTGTGTGGAATCTAAAATATGATACAAATGAACTTGTTTGCAAAACAAAAAGATCCATGGACATGAGAAAACAAACATGATTATCAATTGAGAAAAGGGGTAGGAGAGGAATAAATCAGGAGTTTGGGATTAGCAGATACAACCTACTAGATGTAAAACAGACAAACAAAAAGTTAACTACTGTATAACACAAGGAACTAGATTGACTATCTTATAATCATAGTGGAAAGGGATACAAGGAAGAATATGTATATTAGTATATATAAATTATACAACACTGTAATTCAAGTATATGTCAATAAAGAAAAGAAGCTGTACCTTACCTTGTGATTGCCAGTGAAACTGCTCTTCTGCTGAACTGTAAAAAACAGAATACATAGATATAATGAATTTGTTACAAATTAAAGGACTCTAGACTGTAAGATGCAAAGGTACATTAAGTTAGTAATGGGAGCTCCATGGGAACTCCCTTCAATTTCTTACTCGGAAAAGGGGTCCCACTTTGATACAATCATAATTTTAACCTATTTGATATATACCTCTTTGGATTCACAGGTATTAACATGTCATAAATGGACATCATTCAGTAATTTTCTAAACAACAGCTGATTTATTTTACAAATCACAATCTATTATACTTATTACTTATGACAGTTTCTACATCCATGAAGTTCTACCCAACTGTAGATATTTTAAAATATAAGTCTGAATAGTTTCATGTAAACTTTGTAAGGTGTTCTAACAAAGATATAACTTTCTCCATTTTCATTATAAAGAGATAAAATAAACCTATACCTTTTCCTAGACATACCATATAAGCAGTTCCTTTCAGCTGTTGATTATATTTCAAATTAAGTAATATAAAAATCATAACACTTTACCACCACCAACTATACAGTTTCCAAGTTTCCACTTTAGAAATATATCATATAATAAAAATGACCCAGGTAGAAAGGGTGGCTCATATAAATGACACGCCAAAGATATTGTGCAGATTGTATTTAGGTGGGCACATAAATTTATTCTGAATGATTTAAAATACATAAATAAATTTAAAATTTCTAAATATGAACAGCTCTTTCATTATACATGCAAATAGTTCTAACACACCCTTTTTTATGTCAATAATTTGTGGGAAATCTATATGACAATTACTGACAGGTATCATTTTGAGAATCATTTTCTACACCTATTTACTAGATCTTTTACTCTGATCAACGCACTTCTATGAATAGCTCATCAGTTTCACAACAAGAAGTAGGTTTTAGAACTTTAATCTGTACCTTAGAAATGGTTTCTGAATACATTTGCTGGGGGAAAAAGCAATTCTTGTATAAATGAGTGTTCAGAATAGCCATGATTGATATACACGAATATAAGAGCAGTCCCTTAAGAGACCTTTTTAGGGCATCTTTCTCCTCAGCCAATCCATTTTAGCAAAGTGAAAAATGATTTTGCAATGATGAGAGCTATAGACAGTTGATACCTGAAATGATAACATTACAAATTCACTCTGATGCAACTTCTTCTTGCATCAAAAAGTGTATCACTATAAAGCAGTAACAGCTAAGTGCAAGGTTTAACATGTAAAACAGAAATGCAATCCTATAATTAATATTTTAAAAAATGTTCAGTTAGCAGTATGTTCAGTTAGTAAGTGGCATCTAATACAGGGGTGGAAAATGTTTTCAAAATTGTAGTGAGTTGAATGGTATCCTTTCCCCACAAAAGATGTGTCCACACCAAATCCCTAGAAATTGTGAAAGGTTACTTAATGGGAAAGGGTTTTTGAAGATGTAATTAAGGTAAAGATCTTAAGATGAGAGCTTCTGAAACTCAATGATCAACGTCCTTATAAAAGACATGAGAGGAGAAAGACACAGAGTAGAAGGTCTTGTGAAGGTCCTGTGAAGATGGAAGCAGAGACTGGAGTTATGTATATATAAGCCAAGGAATGGCTGGAGCCAGAAGAACCTGGAAGACTTAAGAAAAGAACTTCTCTTTAGTATTCCTCCTGGCTTCCCTGGTGGCTCAGAGGTTAAAAGCGTCTGCCTCCAATGCAGGAGACCCAGGTTCGATCCCTGGGTTGGGAAGATCCCCTGGAGAAGGAAATGGTAACCCATGCCAGTATTCTTGCCTGGAGAATCCCATGGACGGAGGAGCCTGGTAGGCTACAGTCCACGGGCTCGCAAAGAGTCGGACACGACTGAGCAACTTCACTTTAGTATTCCTCCATAATGAAGGCCAAGTGCTGAAGAATTGATGCTTTCGAATTGTGGCACTGGAGAAGACTCTTGAGAGTCCCTTAGACAGCAAGGAGATCAAACCAGTCAATCCTAATGGAAATCAGTCCTGAATATTCCTTGGAAGGACTGATGCTAAAGCTGAAGCTTCAATCCTTTGGCCACCTGATGAGAAGAGCTGACTGACTGATTGGAAAAGATCCTGATGCTGGGAAAGATTGAGGGCAGGAGGAGAAGGGGGTGACAGAGGATGACATGGTTGGATGGTATCATAACTCAATAGACATGAGATTGAGCAAACTCCAGGAGATGATGAAGGACAGGGAAGCCTGGTGTGCTGTAGTCCAAGGGGTCAGAGTCAGATATGACTCAGTGACTGAAATGACTGAACTGAACTAAGGGAACATGGCCCTGTCAGCATAAGTTGATTTTAAACTTCTGAGAGAGTCAGTTCCTAGGAAGGTTGGTAAGAAGTCCAGGGTTCCTGAGGAGGAGAAAGGGGTCGGGAGCCCTCTAGAAAGAGAAAGGGGTCTGGGGCTCTCAAGGAGAAAAAGACATTTTCTACATGGCTTTGTTTTAATCAATATAACAATGTATCTTGGTAGAGGACATGTTGCTCCTTAACAAGAAGGTTTTCTTACCAATCTTGTTATCTTAAAAAGTATGTTGTGGAATTGAAAGATAAAAGCCATATGATTATCTCAATAGATGCAGAGAAAGCCTTTGACAAAATTCAACATCCATTTATGATTAAAACTCTCCAGAAATCAGGAACAGAAGGAACATACCTCAACATAATAAAAGCTATATATGACAAACCCACAGCAAGCATCACCCTCAATGGTGAAAAATTGAAAGCATTTCCCCTGAAATCAGGAACAAGACAAGGGTGCCCACTCTCACCACTACTATTCAACATAGTTTTGGAAGTGTTGGCCACAGCAATCAGGGCAGAAAAAGAAGTAAAAGGAATCCAGATAGGAAAAGAAGAAGTGAAACTCT